TGGACCTTCCTAATGACATATTCTAAACCAAAGTTGAAAAGGAGTGGTGAAAAATCATCTCCTTGTTTTAGACCATTTTGGAGAGGAATTTATCAGACAAATGTTTACCTATACAGACTTTATTATACGTTTTGTTTAAACACATTTTAATCAACTTAACTAGTTTCATGGGTATCCCAAACTCTATCAGGATATTGTACAGTACTTCCCTCTTAACTGAATCATAGGCTTTCTTGAAATCTATAAGTAGCTGATGTACTATCTCATTGTACTCCCATTTTTTCTTCAATATCTGACAAATGCAAAAGATCTGACATGTAGTTGATCTGTTATCTCGAAACCCACACTGATGATCCCCAATAATTTCATCTATATGGACTAACCTTGAGAGAAGAATATTGGATAAAATTTTATATGAAGTTGATAGCAGTGATATCCCCTCAGTCTGATTTATCACCCTTCTTGTGAACTGGTACAATAATATACTCCTTCCACTGATCAGGCAATTTTTCCTTATGCCAAATAGAAGTAATTAGCTTGTGGATCTCAGAATGTAATATTTCACCACCTGCTTGAATAAGTTTTGCCGGAATTTGCTCACTACCTTGTGATTTATATCTTTTCAATTTTGCAATAGCACTTTCAACCTCAAAAGGGATAGGATCAGGTATTAATGGCTCAGCTGTATGTACTCCTATCTGCCTAAGATCACTGACCCTATGCACATTCAATAGCTGAAAGTAGTAGTTCTTCCACCTATTCAAAATGTTGTGGGAATCTGCAAGCAGATCACCATTCTCATCCTTCACTAAGTTACCTCTAGGTTCGTAGTCCCTCTTAAAGTCATTTATTCCTCTATACAGGTCTCTAATGTTCTTGTTCTTACTGTTCATTGCACCAGGGATGCGTTGGGACACAGCTTTGGGACACCACCTCATGGTCCCGCTGGGCAAAGTTAGTCTTGTGGTCTGGATTAGTATGACCTACTGGGACTAGTGACTAAGTTCCCATAAAGGGCAATGGCATTATGACCGGAGCCTGCCACGCGGTGGCATAATGACTCTTGGGTATCAATACGGTCTACTCAGGACGAGTGAGGGAGACCACTCGTATGGGGGTAGCTTCGGCTACTTAGCTGTTTCCCTAGAGTACCGATAAGGTGCCGCAAGCCTTTGGGCTCAACATCCTAAAACGGTTTGACCAATCCATGTGGAGGGGTGGGAATGGGGGAGCTTTTATGCAGTTCCCAGGGCAGCTGCTTCATGCAGGTTTCCCTGGTTGCAACCTCAAGACTAGCTGGTATTGCACTCCCATATATCATCTGGGATACCCCTCTCCCCCCGAACAGGCACTCTAGGTCCTGGAGGCTTGCGAAGGTCTTATTCATAACAGGACCAAACCACCTAAGCCAAGGTGTGAGGCATCGTGCTGAGGGCTGCGTGGCACTGGGGTGGTAATTAGCCAGTGTCGTGAATGATCCCCTTGGGACACCAGGAAGCACCCTGTTGTATTTATGCCTTCCACCCATATGGGGTGTTGTGGGCGGTGATCTTTTAAATCCCCATACTTCATGGGACCGAAACGAATAAAGGAACCGTATCCAAAACCAGTCGTAAGGACCTTAAACTGAAGAGGGACCCCCTCCAAAGGGATCCTTATGAGAAATGCTTCAGCAGGGGGCTGGAAGCTCTGGTGCACCATTAAGAGGCCCAGTTGCAACCAGCAAACCTGCTGATGAAATTTCAGCCAAAGGCAGGGATGAACCAGTGGTTTGAAACCTGCCTGAGGTAAAACCAAAAACCACTCTCTTGGGAGTCAGTAGTACTGACATACCACTGCAGGGGGCTAGTACTTCTAGCACGCCTGCAGCAGGAGAAGGACTGGGACACCTTGTCTCTGGGGGTAGGTAGATTCCGTCCAGCGAAGAAGGCCTTGTCTGGGTGCGCTAGACGGAAATTAAGAGGCATGTGCTGGGGCAAGCAAAGCAGGAACTTGTTACATTCAGCAACCAGGAAATGCTAGGGCTCACCTAAACAGGGAGAAACCCACATCAAAACCCTTAAGAGGGTAAGGTCGGAGGGCAGGACCCCTACAGAAACGACCAGAGCTCCGGAAAGGCACAGGGACTTACAAGGAGGCTATGACCATTATAAAGGCTGCTATCTTCAAGGCAAGATATCCTGAGGATAAGCTTACCGAAGATGACCAGAACTCCATTCTGGAAGCACTGCGGGAGGTGTTACAAAGGACTCCAAAGGGAGAACTATGACACCTGAAATCCTACAGACTGGAGGGAGATGCAATTATTCATATATGCGCCAACCAACAGTCTGGTCAATGGCTCATCAAAGCCATTGACAACTACAGGCTGGAATCAGGGGCCAGGCTGAAAGCTACTGATTCCAGGAACTTGCCCAAGCCTGTTAAAGTGGCTCTCTGGATTAGGGACAAAGTTGCCCAGAATCAGGAAGAGCTGCTGAAATGGATTGCAGACCTCAATCCAGGACTTCACACTGAGCACTGGAGGGCACTCGATAAGCAATCTGAGCTGAAAGGCCAAAGGCTTATCTTACTCACAGACTGGGTATATTATACAGAGGACTGGTTACAAGATATTTACAGGGCTCTCACAGGGGACTGTTAAGGTTCTAAAAGATCCTGAAATTCAGCACCAGACACAGCATTTTCAAATTCGGTCTCTGAGGGGGAGGGGGATGAGATACCCACTCCGTCGGAGGACTGAAGTAAAGCTGATCAGGGGACCCCTTCACAGGGAACCCAGTCTGAGGATAGGGAGGGGAATAAGATGGAAACTGACCACTCCCCAAATGGAAGAGATAACTAAACCAAATTATACATACACCTAACACATCCACACACACACACACATTATGAAATTCCTTCAAATTAACCTACACCACAGCAAAGTGGCCGCTGCAACTTCATGTCAGCAACTAGCTGAGGGAAAGGCAGATATAGCACTTATTCATGAACTTGGTTATACAAGAGTCAAATAAGGGGCTTAACTAACACAGAGGGAACAGTTTACTCTGATGTACCTGGTAACAATGCAAGATCCTGTGTTTATATCAGGAATCATATTAATGCCTTACCTTGTAGGTAACATAACAACACACCAAGTTACCTTCAGGAATCCCAGAAGAACCAATTGGGAGTCATATAAGGACAACCTAAATGTTAACCTGGAGATTGTTTCACGAAGTATATGCATGATAAGGGACATATATCGGTCTACTGACCAGTTGCAATGGGCCATCATCTTGTCCTATTATCATAATTGTCCAGCCAAGACCACTCGATTACCAAGAAATGCACCTTGGTGGAATAAAAAGCTGAGTGGGCTAAGAGTTAAAACAAGAAAGCTATTTAATATAGCGAGAAGCACAGGGCAGTGGGACACCTACAAGGAAAGCCAAACAATCTTCATGGAGGAGGTACTGTCAGGAGATCAACGATGTACCAAACAATGCCAGACTCATGAGAGTCATGGCAAAACAGGTGACCAATAAGGCCAGCTCTATCAAGCTGACGGATGGTAAGTATACCCAAACTGGAGAATGGAAACTGAAGGAACTGTTCAGAGTTCACTTCCCTGATTCAAAGTTGACTGATGATTCAGGTGATGAACAGGGCCAGCAGAACATGGACGTATGTGGATACATAATGAACAGGGGAGAGTGGAACCTGGCTGGTCAGGTAATCGATCAATCCGAAAACCTTCAAACCAATTAAGTCTGTGGGAACAGATGGTATTGTACCAGCACTTCTGCAGCAAGGGGTGGAACATTAAGTCCCACACCTTTGCCGCATATTTAGAGCCTGCATAGCAAATGGGTTTATCCCTATGGCCTGGAGGCAAGTTAAAGTGACATTTATTCCAAAGCTAAAGCTTATCGTCCTATCAGCCTGTCATCTTTCCTTTTGAAAATGATGGAGAAAGTGGTAGATTAGACATATTAGGGATGGTGCATTGAAAATTCATCCTCTGCGCCGAAACCAACATGCTTACCAAATAGGTAAATCTACTGAAACTGCACTGCATAATGTAGTAACACACACATAGAAAATGCTATTGAATACAAGGATATTGCTCTTGGAGCATTCCTTGATGTAGAGGGAGTCTTTGACAGAACCTCCTTTGACACAATAAAACAGGCTGCTGAAAGGCATGGCACTGAGCCCACAATATGCAGATGGATCTGTGCTATGCTGGAGAGCAGGAATATAAGTGCTACATTGTATGGAGAGGCCCTGAGAGCGTCTGTGGGGAGAGGGTGTCCACAGGGAGGGGTTCTCTCCCCTCTGCTGTGGAGGCTGGTTATGGATTATCTTCTTTGGGAGCTCAAAAGTACAGGCCATTTCACAGTAGGATATGCTGATGATATAGCAATCCTAATGAATGGGAAATTCCCACACACTGTATCAGAGGTCTTACAAACAGCCCTGCACATTGTTCAACAGTGGTGCGAAAGGACAAACTTGTCTATCAATCCAAACAAGATGGTAATTGTACCCTTTACTAGGAAGAGGGATATAAAGGGGCTCAAAGAATCAATACTCTTCAGTAAAGTGATCCAGCTATCCAGTGAAGTCAAGTACCTTGGATTAACATTAGACAAGGAGCTGACATGGAAAAAACAGCTGGAGAAGAATATTAACACAGCCTATAAGGCCTTCTGGACATGTAGAAGCACGTTTGGAAAGACTTGGGGACTGACATCAAAGGTGGTATATTGGATACACCACACAGTGGTAAGACCCATAATCACGTATGCCGCCACTATACGAGCATGGTGGTCTAGAGTTAAACTTAAAGCAAGTCATGCTGAACTAAGCGAATTGCAAAGGACGGCCTACTTGGGAATTACGGGAGCAATGAGAACAGCTCCAACAGCTGCAATGGAAATCCTACTAGGACTCCCGCCACTGCATCTGCAGATGGAAGCAGAGGCCAAGTTAGGAAATTAAGATTACATTGCAATGATCAATGGAGACATAAATCTGAAGGTTTTCATCACACATACATGATTCAGGACATGAAAAAGGAACCCATCCTACATATGGGATCTAATAAAATGATACCGAAACATGTCTATGATAAATCCTTCATGATCAGATTTCCTGATAAAAGTGATTGGAAAGAGGGGTTTCAACCAAATAAAAAGGGGGGACTAATCTGGTATACAGATGGTTCCAAGACAAATAGAGGCACTGAAGCTGGAGTGTATTGTGTTGGAACAGGGTGGAAATGTAGTTAAGGCCTTGGTCAGTATACAACAGTATTCCAGGCACAGGTGTATGCCATTAAGGCACGCGCAATTGAGAATTTAGATAGAAATTAAAAAAATAGGAATATCTATATTCTATCAGATAGTCAAGCTGCAATTAAAGCACTTGGTACACACCAAATCACTTCAGAATTGGTTTGGGATTGCCACCAATCTCTCACACAACTGGCCAGACATAACAGAGTTCAGCTGATATGGGTGCCAAGTCATGAGGGTATTGCTGGGAATGAAACTGCAGATCAGCTGGCAAGAACAGGATCTGAACATTTGTTCATAGGACCTGAACCAGCTTGTGGTATCTCAGTTGGAGTTGCCAAGAAAGCGATCAGGGACTGGGCTAACAGAAATCACAAAAAACACTGGGAATCCACAACTGGAGTCAAACAGGCAAAAGGATTTATATCAGGACCCTCTGCCAAAAGAAAGAGGGACCTGTTAAAATTAAACAGAAATCAATTAAGATAGGTAGTAGGATTACTTATTGGACACTGCCACCTAAAAGGAATCTTTTTCAAGTTGGGACTGACAGATAACCCAACTTGTGAAAGGTGCCTACAAGAAAATGAATCAGCCACACATATCCTGTGATTGTGAGGCCATAGCTTATTTAAGATTTCATCACTTGTGTGCATTTTTTATGGAACCAAGTGACTTTCATGATATCCCCATAAGCAGGGTCCTACACTTCATTAAAAGTGTAGGATTAATAAAGGGCTAATCCAAGGGGAAGCACAATAGATCATTGAAGGTCGCAGTGCGGGGGCTGGACTGTAACTGTTCAAAACTTGGTGGGCACCAGGAGGAATCTCCACCAACTTCTGGAAGGAAAGCTGCTGTATAGCGCCCTGTATGAAGCATACAAAGGGGTGTGGCATGATTTGGTAGCACTAGAGCGCATAGGCAGTAATTATGAACGTGCTGGTGAGGTCCAGCGGCAACTGTAAATGAGAGACCTGTTCTCTTGTCAGAGAGGACACCCCACATCAACAAACCTGCAACTGTTTGACAGTAATAAAAATCTGGACTTGGGCCTCAGATGGGTGCCGGACACCAAGAAAGACTCTCCAACTGACCGTTGTTCATAACATAACTTTGACTTTTAGTCGAATGAGTTGTAAGTCAGTCACCAGCCAGTGAGGCAAGAGCTACTGAGCATGGAAGTGGTTTAGGGAATCCACATAATCCACATTCTTAAACGCCACTATTAAGCAATGGGCATGTAAAGATGGAGTAAGACAGGAAGACTTAACCTGTGCTGTCATGCTTTGTTAAGCATGTAAATTAGTGAGAGTGTTATAATTATTTGTAGTTGCAAGTGAGTGTTATTGATTATTATTGATAAATTATTGATAAAAGCCCCATGTCTAGTCACAAAGAGGTGACAATGATGTAAAGGAAGCAGTGAGCATGGTGTGTAGCAGGCATAGAGAAACAAGAAAATTACAAAAATGTTTCGTGGTAAGATGCCATGAGAAGAGATCATTCAGGACAGACAGACACAGATGAAAATAAAGCAGATGAATTACATGCAAAAGAACGGACACAAGAAGAAACAGATATGTCTTAAAGATAATAGTGGCTCATATGCTGGTACAAAATGTTCCTAAGCAGTCATGTATTCAAGAATAAGAGGAAAGGAGTCAATACTGAAAGTAATTATACCTTTAAAGGGAAGATTAAAAATAAGTTCATACCTTCTCACACGGAAGTGGGAGAGAATCATAATAAAATTTAGCCAATTATTCCTTTAATTATGGCAAAGTTATACTATCTCCGAAAGACTATAAGTAATCAAAATTACACAATGGAGAAGTTAATAAAACAAGACTGAATATGGGGAAAACATAATATCAGTCAAAAATTTTTACCTCCTGACCCCTACCAAAAAATGAAATGAATAAAATAAATGAAGCAAAAATTCTGCCTTTTCATTTCATGCATCCTGTTGTGTTTATATACAATTCTTTATTGGAGTCCATCGTAACACAACAATCTTGACGGTTATGTTGTGTTAGAACGGACTCCAATAAAGAATTGTAAATAATTCTGCCTGTTGTTTCTGTAGAGAAGAACAAGACTGCTATTGCTTGAAAACAGAGTTTTAAGAATACCTGAACCTAAGAGAAATGAAATAAATGCAGACGGGAGAAAACTGCATCATGATTAGCTTCAAAATTTGTGTAGTTTACCTAAACTTATTAGGATGATCAAATGACAAATGAAGAGATGAACAGAGCACAAGAGAGTTTGGAAATGCATGTTTATATAATTTTCGTCAGAGAAACCTGAAGGAAAGTGGTCACTTAGGAGACCTCAACATAGATGAAAGAATAATATTAAAATAAACAGTGTGTGAGCTTGTGGAGTGCATTTTCCTTTTTTTAGGATACAGTCCAGTGGTAAGTTCCTGTGAATATGATAACAAAATTTCAAATTCCATTAAAGGAAGACTTGATCAGTTAAGATACCACCAGTTTCTGCAGAAGAATTCCATTCCACAAAGTTAGTTCTTCATAACATCTACAAAAAATATCATATATGCGCAATTCTAATATTCTGCAGGTATGCAGTGAATTAATGAGTCAAATCAGTGAGGGGGTTATTTAAAAGGCCAGCTATACATACCGACAGCAGGGACTGTACCATGTCTTGAATTGTCTCTCCAATGTCTCTGTAGTTCAGCTGTAGGCACATTGTCTGGTATTTGAGGTTCTTGGCCAGAGGCTCAAGGACACTTGCTGTACCATCGATTCCAGGCAACATGAACAGAAATGGTCCTGCCTTCATCTCATCTTCTACATCTACCCAACCTCCAGCTGCTGGCAGGCACACAACAGGCTGTGCTGAAGATGCCTCATCCCCTATCACACTCAGCAACAACTGCAGCTCCTCACTAGGTCCATCATCAACAGACAGAGCTACAAACACAGCAGATTCCAGATATTGTACTTGTGAGCTTAAGAGTTTCTATATCAGAAATTCTGGAAACTTAGAAAATTAGTCACAGTGGAATTAACAAAAGACTGCTTGTTTGCATTCAGTTCAGAATCTTTCTTGCACTTCCCCCAAAATAAAAACGAAACCATGTAAATCTGTCCATTACCTGTTGTTTATATGAGTGAGAAACTTGATCCATCATTGTAATGGAAGAATGCACAAAAGGATGTTTTTTTTGGGGGGGGGGGATGGAAAACNTATGAGGAATACAATAATATGAAAACTGATGTTATTACTAATAAGGAGCCCATAATTTGATTTTGTCTTCTAATATTATTACACTGATTAAACTGACAGATTACTGATGAATGAATGAAACAAAGAAGGTACAAATGTGCAGGATATGCAGCAGCGGTGAGGTATGGAAATGAGGCATATAAAATGCTTCTTGGAAAGGATTTTCAGTAGAAACTACATGTGAGAAGAGATGGAGGGGGTAATATTAAATTGAATATTAAAGAAACAGATTGTGAATACGTGTACTGGAATGAGTGCCTGAGGTGAACTACTAGGTTCCATAACAACAGATACTCATAGACAGTCTAATATCTTTCTGTCATTAAAGCCAGTTTGTGGGTCACTGAATGAATCACCTTTAAGCTCTGTGTAAAGCTGACCACTAGAGGTGCAATGTGATACCTACATGTTCATCATGCTACTTGCTTTTACCCATCATCCCTGCACCCTCATGATGACCCAGTTAATTTATGTCACAAATAATTTCCATTCAGGAGAAGAAGTTGTGTACCTTGTGATGCTAGTTCTTCCTTCCCCTTTTCAGCCATCTCATTGAGGCGTGCAAATGTCAAGCTACGGATCTCTTTAGGCATCAGAAATATTCCAAACTCTCGTTCAAGGGACTGCTTAACCTCCACAACTGTCAAGGAGTCCAAGCCCAGCTCTGACAATGTGGAATTTGGACTAATAGACTTCAGATTATGGATACCTGCCAGAAAATTTGCCTTTGTTATAACATACTGATCCTTCAATTATGGAGACTGGCTTCTTTTTGAGGTTTATTTTCGAGTGCTGATGGTACCTATAACATATAACACTGAATAATATGATGAGTGGTGAGTTATGGACTGGAAAGGATTTGGAAGTAAGATGTCATGGCATTGACTTGGCTCATCCTGTTCTGTCACACTAGCAACAGCATAAAATAACTTGCAACACTGCCCAGTGTGACTGATTAATAAAGATGAAAAAATGAAATACAATCATTACTAATCAATCACACTGGATGGTGTTGCGAGTTATTTTATAATGTTATGGCATATTTAAGGTATCACCCCAGCATTTGTCTGGAAGGACTGAGGCAAACCATGAGAAACCTTGGACAGGATAACAGTGTGCTGGTCAAGATTCAAACCAGCACCTCTGAAATGAATTTGATTAAATGCCAAGTAATTACAACTTTAAGGAGGAGAAAAATTCCAATTCTATGAATATTTGGTATGTAAGAGTCTTTGCAAACCGGTTAAAGGTCACCAAAAACATTTTAATAATCTTATATATAAAATCCACAGTTTCTCTGCTGCTGGCATGATTGGCAGATGAGCATAACCAAACTTTGATAATTTAAAAGCAAGCTGTTCATCTCGCTGTGTAGCATGGCAGTCATTTAACACATGAAGCAATAACTAAACAGCTCCATGGTGTCATATAATAATAAATGACCAACAGGAATATGTATTCATAAGACTGTCACAATAAATAAGTATTTCCATTATTTCAGTATAGATTATTTTAGAAATCTCAGCTCTCACCACTGCTAACTTTACCATGCAGAACCTGTACTACCAGTTCTCCTTGTCCAGTCTGAGTTTACTTCAGTCAGCTGCCGGATCATCTCAAGAAATTTCAGACTTACCCATGATGAGGCTGACACAGTCCACTATAGTTGCAGGTCCATCACTACCTGCATCTTTTTCTGGAACAACCATGCTTGACACTACAGGGCATGACAGCCTCATGAATTCATTGAGCACTTGAAGACACGACACAATTCTCTAAGGTAAGGTGCCTCCTGCAAACCACAGACCACAGATGTTCACCCAGAAAGAAAACTTTGGTTTCCAGTGCTCTCTTATGTCTACTGTTGAACCACACAAATGAAACTAGTAAGACTACTGACTGCACTGGAGTTTTCTCAAATATCGAGATCAAAGAAGGATGATCTCTTGTCAGATGAAACAGTATGTTCAAAATGATCCTGCTCTGAGAGGTAACGGTCATGTCAATGCATTTGCTCTGGATTAACATTCTGTCTATAAGCGGCCTCCGTAGTCTAGGGGTAACATTCCCACCTCATGACTCAAGGTACGCGGGTTCAAAAACCTGGCGGAGGTCGTGGAATTTTTAAGGGCGGAAAAATTCAGGGAACAAGTTCTCCAGGAGGGACTTTAAGCTGTGTGTCCCGTGTCGTAGATTTACGGCACGTAAAAGAACCTCATGTCTCTAAGAGACCACTGAGCTAAATTAGGCCCAACATTTCCCACCCAAAGTAGTTTCCAATGCCTCAGGTAGATGGGGAAGTATTAGGTACCACTGCCAGAGGAGGGATGACCTCTCTGACAGAAAGGGACTAAAGTATTAGATACCACTGCCAAGTAGAGGGTAGAAACCTTGCTGGCAGAAAGGGACTAGGAATCCCTGCCAGAGGAGGGACGACCTCGCTGATAGAAAGGGACTATTTGATACCACTGCCAAGTAGAGGGTAGAAACCTTGCTGGCAGAAAGGGGCTAATAGCGAGCACCAGTACTGGTAGGGGATGGAGACTGTAGAAATTAAAAGGGGGACGTACAATAGACTATCAGTCGCGGTGCATGGGGAAACCAACCTCCTCAATACTGAACCACAGAATCACTGAACATTCTGTCTAATCATAAAACACTTCATTCCCAGATATGTTAATACTGTTTCTTCCACTTGTTCCTCTTTTAAAAACATCAGTCTACTCTATTCTTGTTTCTCTCTTCACTATCCAAATTCCACTCCTGCCTTAGCCATTTTGTAATTGGAAAAATAAATCCAAAGGGCAGCAGCTGTGAAGTTCCAAACACTATGAGGATCTTCATTTAAAAATTATGATCTCTGAAACTTCATATAAAACATATTTCCTTGATAATTTTGTCTTTACTGTTGTTTCCTCTGCTCTCACACTGAGCTTCATCAGACCTCTCCACACAGAGTTTTATCTTCCCAAGGTGTTCCACAAAACACTTTCTTTCATTCTTTAAATAAAAAATAAAACAAATATAGAAAATGCTAGTATGCAAATGGAACAGACTGAAAGAAAAATGTTAAAAAAATAAGGCACTAAAAGATACATCACCGGTCTTACCTTTAAATAATGTTCATGCACAATATATCTGCATGTATGTACTTTATCTCACAAGCTCTCCATAACATTTCATGTACCATCAACAGGTCTGCATACCACTGAGGAACATGAATTAGTCACCCATGTGCCTTCGGTTATAAAATCAGTAGCCAAAATTGTGTAGTGTAACATGATAGAATGAATAATGAATTTGAAGAAAAGTGGAAGAAAGCAGTTGTGTGATAACTTGAAGCACTTAGCCTCTAGGCATTTGTCTAAAAGGACTAAGGAAACTATCTCAGTCAGGATGGCCGGTCTCTAGATTAAGACTTGGTCCTTATATATCATGAATATAAAGCAGCAGTTCTACCCATTCGCCTACATCTGATCATGGGACTCCTTATTAGGGCCACATAGTGTATGTCTCTGTCCCTTGCCCCTACACAGAATTCTGACATACCTACATGAACAGTGACTGATGTAGGATACTGCGCCAGGATCAGAAGAAGACTTCAGAAAAGAAATGAACCTTAGGAGTAAACCTCAATTGCAAGTTATATTTTCTCTACTCATGCTATCACTCTGAAATCAGACAGCTGCAAGACCAGATATGGAATTGCCACACTGATCCTATGCACAAATCACAGGATGGGAAGAATAGGCATACAGCAACAGCGGAATTTTTCTGAATACATCTGTCCTAGCAGGAAGCTCCTTACATAATATGTGAATAGCAATAAACCACTGAAAAGGTTATTAAAATGTTATTTAAGCTATTTGCATTAGCACCAGATTACTATGGCAAACATGCATCAATTCGGAGACTTAAGAAAAAAAAAACAAATGTTACTGTCCTGACTGCTGTTTCCTTACCCCATTCAAATTTATTTCATGCTCTTGTCAGTATGTACTGCATCATTCAGATGTAAAAGAGACATGCAGTTATTGTGGTGGAGTCCTCATGCCTAATCTTTTCTTTCTTTTAATTACACAAGTACAACGTAATTTAGTAAATTAAGTGTTATTCCATCTTTAAAGTATCAACTGCTATATACTGTGATACTGTCAATGGAAGCAACCACAGTCAGAGTGAAAAACTGGTACTGTTGCTTGTCAAACATAAAGAAAATGCTGAACCCAGAATGTGAATAGCTCTTGTTATGGAATGACTCTGAGATAGGCAAATATACTACAGCAGTTTTCAAGAAATTGCTCGGTAAACACGTTCCAGAGGCAATGAGTATGCAAGCAACAATCAAGATATTGTTGGGCTATAACACTGAAAACGATGCATTCTATGTAGTTCATGCCAAATGTTATAAAAAGGGATAGCAGAATTCCAGAAAGAGGTAACTGATAGGCAGTTCTGTATTGGAGTCAGTGAAGGAAGGACCTGAACATGGGAAGCTGAAGGACCTCCACTCTTAGAAGCTGTTGCCATGGAATGAAAGGTGAATATACAGCTGGCTGAAGAGGAGTAGTGGTGTAATTACTTCTAGTTCTGAGTCATGTGGTACAAGTGTCAAAAAGTCCAAACCCTGTCTACAGTCACACACCCACAAATATGTGACAATACTAAGTCTGAACTTCTAGTCCCCTCAGTCATATAAGGTTTGGCAGCAGTGAGAGCTTTCTTTCAGCTGTGTACATAAAACCTACTCCAGGTAATGTTATATTGTAGCATCCTGTTGCACTATTCACTTAGTGCCAATTAGTTTTTTACAGCCTCATGTGCAGCACTAATGTCATATAAAATTTACTGAAAGATATTCACTTAAAAAGCTGCTACTTGACATGTTTTGACCAATGCTGTCATCATCAGGTCTTAACACTACTGGACAAGGAAACAGCTGTCTTCTGTTCTGTTACTTAGGTTGTTAGTATATATAATTCCCCTGGATGCACATGTGTGTTTGAAGCAGTGGGTTGTATTTCCTCCTGTTGTGTGTTGTGCTGCATGTCTTTTTCTTTTTAATGCAATTGAAACAGAACACAGCATTTTCCTTGTCCAATAGTTTTAACACCTGATGATGACAACATTTGTTGAAACATATAGTGTAACAACTTTTAAAGTGAATATCTTTTAATAAATTTGATAAAATATTAGTGTTGCATGTGAGGTTGTAAAAAGTAATTGACATTATTCTAGGTGCACAAAACTGTTATCAGAGCATAACTGACCAATGCCTTGCTGTTTCTCCTGCACCTCTGCCAACAGCCCCACATCCCCCACTGCACCCCACTGCACAGCAAGGCCTGGCAACCCATCTCTGACACGGGCCTCACAGATGCGCTCCATGACAGAGTTGTTCATGCCATAATTGGTCTGTCCTGCATAACCACGCCCACATGATAAGCTGGAGAACACTACAAAATGGCGCAGATGTGGGCACATCTGGCGAGACAACTCGTCCAGGTGACATGTTGCAAGTGCCTTGGGTCCTGCAGAAGTGACAAAGTCTGCCTCAGTTTGGTTCTCCAGGACGGCATCTCGCAGCACCTGCAAGTAACAACAGATGTTTATTGCAGGGTGTCAAGAAGTGATGAAGTACCTCAAACAGTCACTGCCATAATGCCATGTCTGGCATTCTCTGTGTATCCCTCTTTTTACTGATTAATGGCAGAACTGTCATTACATCACACTTGAAGGAAATGCCACAAAACAACATCTCTCCAGAGTCTCAGAAGGACTTTGCTACTTATTGGTGGGACTTACGAGTATACAGAAAATTACTAGATCCAGGTTAATGGTATAACCATATAATTCAGTCATAAGACAATACTCCTTCCCAGTGGCAAATATTGATAAAACATCATTTTACAATTTATTAAGATAACATTCTAAGTACAATTCTCCTTCAAGAACTTCACTTCCTTCCAACACTTTATAGTTGCTGATTTTAAGTCCATACAGAATTTCCTGATAGAACTTGCACCCAATAACAGCACTTTAACCTATTCTAAACAATCACACATTGAACTAAGAAACGCTGATCTCCTAAATGCATCACAATTATTAGTTCCTGCAAACATACCTGATAAGTTTTACTTAATAAGATAGGAAATGTATTCATTCTGTTGTGGGGCTCTTAATGTAGTTTTGTCATTACTCCGATGACAACCCACTTCTTCGGAAGAGTTTGTTGGTCCTGAAAAGGACCGTGGTTGATGAGATGCTTGATCGGAGAGGTAGCGCGGCGCGCGCCGGTAAGGAGAGAGGCTAGTTGCGGTGAGTGGCCTGGCCGCAGTGCGAACATAGCTGGAGGTTGCTTGGTTGCCGTGTGGCAGCATGAGTTGGAGGTTGCTTGATCGCAGCGCGGCGGCTGCTGGTGAAAGGCTAGTCGTTGAGCGCGGTTGTAGGAGCTATGAGGCAGTGGCTACGCCAGATGCCCAGTGGGTCAGACAGTAACACGACCACCGGCGAGTCCAGGCGCGGTGCCCCAGTGAGTCGGGTGTGAGAGAGCCAGAGGGCCGAGGCAGTCGTGCCTGGCGCAGCCTGCCGATGCCTCCGAAGACCGAGCGCTGGCAACGAAGCCTGCTGGCTGATGTTGCTTGGTGTGGCTAG